AAAAATAAGAACCAAGAGACTCATGTAATGGTACAAGATCCCAATGATGAATGTTACTGTATTTTATACCTAAAATGTACCAATAAAGTTAATGGAAAAAAAAAAAAAAAGCTCCCTGTCTCAGGGGTGAAGTCAACAATTTTACAACTCAATTGCTAAGTGACAGAGGAAAGATATGCACCAACCCTTATGACTGCATAAAAGAGTCACTAACATGCCTTGGGAGTATCTAGAAAGATTTCATAGAAGAAAATGCCTACACATGTGAGAACCCACAAATCTAGCATGTAAGCCACTCTATCTGGTTGTTTCAATCACATATGCACCAGTCAACTGACTATAACTCCTACGAATGAAAAGCTTAATGAAAAGACATGCATTCTGTCCATGTGATATGCAGTATCTTTGGAAGTAAGATGCCATCACTCCAAAGCAGCATAGTGGGTGTGTGTTTATGTATACTCAGCACCTTCATCCCATGTGGCTTCAAAGAGAGCCCTTGCCAGGCCTGGTGGCACTGTAGAAAAGGGAGAAGATGGGGGAGAGGAAGGGGGCGCGGGGGTTGGAGACAGAGAGAGACACAGCGCCAGGCCTAGACACAGAGGACATCAGCCTAGCCTAATCCCCTTCTTTCCACCTCTGTCAACCCTCAAGTTAACAGCTCCCTGAATCACCAGGCTAACAAACACACACTGACTGGTTCCATGTGTTGGGCTATCATTCGCAGGCCAGCTAATGGGCAACACTGCTCTCCCAGGAAACCCTAAAAAACACACTATGGTCTTTGAAGGGTGGAATCACATTCTACCCAGATGGTCATTTCCCCCAGAAAAGGTGTCAGCTCTGTGCTCTGCAGCTCTCTGGGGCCATAGGGCTGTGTCTTCTCTAAGGTCCTTGCCTCCAGGCTCTGGGGGGGAAGAGATGGACCAAAGTGCACACAGGCTAGACAAGACACCCCACATCCTGCTCCCATGAGGGCTCCAAGAGAAGAGAAAGAGAGGCCCTTCAGAGTCGGGAGTGAAGGAAGATGGACACTTGGCCTGGGGCAGACTGTGGGGGTCAAGGCCACTTCCGCTCTTGCAGCCTCATTTAAAAGCTTACACATTCAAGCCGTGATACCAGCAGCTCACTTTGAATAAAAACAAAATTTATGTGAATTAATTTGTTCTGCAAGTGATTTGTGGAGATAGCTTCTGGAAGGTTTGTTATAGTTTCTAAATATTTCTACCAAAAAAGAATATTGCTGACAAGAATGGAGCATTTGGAAACAACAAAACAAAAATCATGCAGAAATGCCTTTAGCATTATTTTTCATGTATTATTAGTCTTCAGGGATAAGATATTTGGTTGTCAGTTGTAACCTTGGAAACTCGCCTAACCAACTTCCAAATGAAAAAGATCTAGTTGGCAAAGTTCACTACTCAACTGCCAAATACCTCAGCTAAATGCTATTATACAGGTTCATTTTGCAAAATAAATTGAATTTCTTTTTTCTTTTTTTTTTTTTTTTTGGGGATCGAACTCGGGTCCTTGTGCTTGCACAGCAGGCGGAGGAACCACTGAGCTAAACCCCCAGCCCTAAATTGAATTTCTTGTAGAGAAACTTGAAATTTATAAAAGAACCCTGGAGAATTTGAATTTTAATAATCAATTATTCTTCAGCCTGATTCATCTTATAAACATATGGAATATGCAAAAAATTAAATTAGTTTAAAAAGCCAGACCTTTAATGCACAGTTGAAGAAAACTTTCACATAAATGAAGAATAATTGCCAAATGTTCTGATGCTGCAATACAATTTTTTTTAGCTCCATGGCATGTAATGTACTTGTAGTTGGGAAGAGAAAATAATTCCTTTCTCTAGTGTTATTCTTTTCTAAACAAGAAAACAAACATTTTCTCTCTTTTATTGTACTCACAATCAAAGCTTATGACTTTTTAAATCATTATGTACAATTTCTTCCTAAAATGCTGGAATGTGCCTGAAGCAATGCGTTTCCACAATGCAAACAGAAAGGGTCACGTCATCATTTACAAGAGACAGTGGAGAAGCTGAAGACCAGAGGCTCACAATGACCTCCTCTTGAGCCACAGAAGAAAAAATGCAAGGACAGGCTGGGAATCTGGCCCAAGGGCAGTAAAAGCCAGCACTAGCTCATCAACCACTAGTTTGCAAGCAAGCTCCAGGAGTGAGATGAGAGTCCTGATAGCACAATCATGTAACAGTGAGTGCAGAATCTCACACATCCCAGGATATCATACTGTTAGCTATAAAAGTAGAGCTGGGCTTGGTGGCACATACCTGAATCCCAGCACTTGGGAGGCTGGGGCAGGACGACTGCCACAAGTTTGAGGCCAGTCTGAACTATATAGTGAGTTCAAGGCCAGGCTGAACTACATAGTGAGACCCTGTCTCAAAAATAAACAAACAAACAAAAAACCTATAAATGTAGAAGACATATACCTATAGTATTCCCTTCATAGTATATCTTTACTTGATATGAACACAAACACACTACACTAGTTGTGGCAAACCTATGGCATGCGTGCCCCAGTGGGCTCTTTGTATCAATGAAAGCTCTAAAAGGTTCACCATCACTGCTCTTTACTTTTCTCAGACTGCTATAAACATCTTGCCATTATCTGCATTCTTCACAGTGACTTTTCTTATTTGCTTACAAACCTACTTTACTCTTTCGCTAGTTGATAAAACAGACACACAGGTCTACTAAAATCTTTTAATTGTCCTAAAATTATCTCACATGGCATAGTAGGTTCCTTACTTTGAGAAACAAGGTCCATGATCCAAGCAGACTCAAGGACTTTCCTGTCAGCCTTAGGATCTTACCAGCAGAGCCCAGGCCAGCTGCCTTCACTATGCCCACATTACCCTGATTTCTTCAGCCTCACCTTCTTAAAACAACTGGTGCTCCCAAAACAGATTCAGGGTTGCACAGTGAGCTTTCTCTGATCTAGGCCAAGTCACTGACTATCTTGTTATAAGAAATATGCTGGCCAAAACTGAACGCATATGACGCTTCAAATCACGTATAAGCCAACAGATAGGACAGGCTCAACTGGTGTTGACAATCATTCCCTGAATAGACTTACACTCACGGCTTCTGCTCTGTATTCATCGTCACTTTCTGGGGCAGACAGTTCCAGCAGAATCGAACATACTTTGTTTTCAATATCTCCCTGGAAAATTAGATCTTGTTCCAGAAGAATCAGCAGCACTTCCTGACTGGATTTTCTAACCTGGAGGAGGGAGAAAAAAAGGCAAAAAGTGAAAAACAAAACAAGAAGAGCTCTCAGGATCAAGACTGAACTCTCAAGCCAACCCTCTGTCCTTCCCTGAATTTAGATGTGAGCCACTTGGTCTTCCTGCCCTTTGGTTTCCTCTTCCTGAGGCCCCTGAGGCCCCTGAGGCCTAAGTAATGCTATTACTACTCTGCTCTCAGCCCAAAGGCCCTGTCAACCCTAAGCCAGGTCCTCAATTTATACTCAGAAGAGTGCCCTGCATTTTTTTTCTTCATAGCTCTTATCCCAGACTTTTGCATGTAAGTACAAATATACACGCATAAATTTTCTTCCTATGTGATTCATAATCGCCACTTGTCTTCCCCAGTACAGAGGATGAACTCAGAGGGGAGGTACCATGTCTGATTTGTCCTTTGCCCTTCAGCATACCCTTAGGACCTGGCCGCATGAAGCACAATGTTTTTCTACCTATTAGGATTTGGGGAACAAATGGATGACGTGACAACGAGCCTTTTCTCTCCTCCACAGCCATAGGACTGAAAAACACAGCATCCTCCTCCTGAGCCTTGTAAAGCTGAACATGCATGCCTGAGGCATGAATTGTAACTGGTGCAGGGAAGGGGCCCAAGGAAGACACTATTATAGAAAAGGGAGGCTGCCTGGCTGACAGAAGATGAGGGCAGAGGAACTCCTGTCCTTTGCCACTGCCATGAAGTAAGCAAGCAGATCTCAGAGAGATCCAAAGAAACCAGAGACTGTTTAGGGAAAAGAAAGCAAATATTATTCCCATGTGCCGAAAAAATAATAATATACCCAATCTATCACTATGATATGAAGGGGAAAAAATAGTAACAGACCCCAAAGTATAAAGACAGAGTCACAGGTGATCAGTTGATAGCAGGTTATGAGAGGGCAAGCCTGTGACACTGCTGCCACAGAAGCAATACAACACTGACACTTCTAAAAAGAGACAGAGGAAAACAGTGTTTCAGAAAGATCACTCTGACAGCAGTGTTCTGACAGAATTGGAGGCCAGGCGAAGAAAGACTGAGTGTAGAAAGGTCAGCAAGGAAACGACTACAACCATCCAGGAGGGAAGGATGGGACTCAGGCTGGCAGGCAGATGAAAGGTGATACCCAGCACTACTACCCAGCACAGGAGACAGGATGGGGGTCCAACTAGAGGAAAACAAACATCCACAAGGACTCTGAGGTGTCAAACCCTGACTGAGGGTCTGGCATGTGTCAAGAGCTGAGTACATGAGAGGACCACAGGAGGGAAGGAAAGGCCCTGAGCAGTGGACTCATCAAGCCAGATGTCAAAAGACAGGAGTCTGCCAAGAACAGTGATGACTCCCCAAAAGATATATCCATATCAAATCCCTGGGATCTATGGATAGGACGGTTACAGTCTGGATCTTGGAATCCTCAAAGACCTATGTGTGTAAGGCTTGGTCTCTAGCCTGTGGCACTGCTAGGCGAGAGTGGTGAGACCTAATTGAAAGAAGTTACATCACTAGGGATGTGCCCTAGAAGGAACTCCAGGGACACAAGTCTTTCTTCATCGCTTTTTGCTGACTGCTACAAGGTCTGCAATTTTGTTGCACCACAGGTTCCCATCACAAACATTCTGCCTCACTATAGACCCCAAATCAATAAGGCCAACAAACCATGGACTAAAACTTCTGAAACTATGTGCCAAAATAAACCTGTTCTCCTTAAAAGATTATCTCAGGGCTGAGGATTTAGCTCAGTGGTTCCGGCGCCTGCCTTGCAAGCCCAAGGTCCCGAGTTCATTCCCCAGTACCAAAAAAAAATAAAAAAGATTATCTCAGGTATTTTGTCACAGAGACAGAAAGGCAACCCAGTGGCCTTCTTTGGAAAAGGCCACTGATGGCCTGTGATTGCTGATGTGATTAAACTAAGGATGCTGAAGTCACCCAAGATTAGCTGGGCGGGCCCTGAATGCCATCACAAACGTCCTGATGAGAGAAAAACAAGAAGAAAAGGCTAAAAGAGAAGGCTACCAATGTCACAGGGTTGCTGTGGGAATAAAAACACAAAGGGCTAAGAACAAGGCCTGGACACAGAATGTCAAAATGAATGCTGGCTATCATTGTCACTAAAGTCATTCTCCCCAGAAGGTAAGAGGGGGAGTGTTTCAAGGGCCTCAGCACAGGGCCCCAGGAGGACTGAAGGTCTTGTCCAGTCACCTCTTCCACTGCCTGGGGTGGAGCAATGTGACACACCTGACAGGTATCCAGTAACTTTCTTCAAAAACTCAAAAGTGGTTAACAGTGACAAATGGAGCAAATGCACGAAGCAAAGAAAAAACAGAAGTTACTATACAGATAAATAAATTGTGGGGGAAACATAAATCCACTGCCATAAAACATTTAAAATGAATGACCAAGAGTTATCTAGATCAATGCTGATGGATCTAAAACAGAGAAGAATAAAGCAATTGGCAGGTAGAAGGCATAATTGACACCATTTAAGGTGTTAAAGCACCCAACATGAGATAAGATCTTCCTCAAGGTCACCATCATAAGCAGGATGACTATGAAAACCTAGGACAGGATGGCAGTTTCCTATGGAAGGGGAAGGATGCAGAGCACTTGTAACCAACCACAGCTACAATCTCTAAATCAAAAACAAAAGGTATCAAGAAAGACTGCAAAATGTGAACATTAGTTGAATATAAGTGGTATGAATGAGTGCTCATGAGTCTTCTCTTCTGTGATTAAAAATTTCAAGATATTTAAAAACTTGAAACTAATTTTTTAAAAAAACGAAAGCACTGGATTTTCCAGGGAGCAGCACAGTCAAGTTCATGCCAGATGCCTATCAGTGGCTTCCAGGAGCTGCAGCTGTGGCGCAGGAGCTAACCACAGAACATCAGGGAGGGGCCTCAGAGGAGGCTGAACAGAAAAGCCTGGGCCGAGGCTGTGGCAGAGCCTCCTCCAGGAAGCTGGGTAGGAAATGGAGGTGGTGGCACATCCTGGATCAAGCCCGAGGAACACAGAGAGGAAGGAGATAGAGGCAAGATCAAAATGGAAGAAGACAGGCCAGTGAGACAGCTGGAAAAGCAGGAAGATGTGAGCCAGGAAGACAGGCCAAGAGAGTGAAAATGAAAACGTTCAACCTGCGATGGCACTTGACTGAGCAGAGGGCAGGTGCTCAGACTGCAGAGAAAACGTGGCCACTAGATGAAATGGAGAGTTTACGGCTGATCCAGATCCACAGATGTTCACTACAATGCCACCAGATCCCAGACCCTTTGCTAAATCACAGAGGTCAAGAAAGCAAGACCTGATCCTATAGTCAGGGGCTCACATTCGAGAATGGGAGCAAAGCTTATGGTTATAATGCACAGAAGAGACTCCACAATCCCCAAACAGACAACAGATAAGCCTCAGAAACCAGAACTAACATCCAGGGTTCCTTTTCCAGTTAGCCACTAACCCAATACCCACACCCCCACCATCCTGCGCCTGTTTCCTCACTTCTGAGGAATGAATTAACAAGTGTTATTCACCATACTTCCCAGGGTGGCAGGACACCATTCACACCAGTTCTGGGGGAAAGTATCCATCACCCCGTGACAACTCAAGTAATTGTAGCTGTGAGTGGTGGCAGCAGTCCTTACAAGAATATGGGTATCAGCCCCTTGTGCTGTGACTAGATCTCCTCACCTGAGTGACTGATGTTCAGCAGCCATGGAAAATACCTGCTGATGAACAGGCTAGCCTGAGAGCAGCTGCCAGGCAGAGCTGGCAAACCCATCACCATAAGCAAAACAACTCATGTCTCTGACACGCTAGAGTTCTAACTCACTGGGGACTTCTGGACACTGTTACAAGTGGCCCCCACTGTGGATGTCTTCAAAGGTTGGCGTCCACTATTGTGAGGTGAAGATTGACAGGAGAAGAGAGGAGGGGCCTTGGGGAAGCAGGCAGGTCAAAACGAGCAGATTCCAGCAGGGCTGAGGGCAGGACAGCGGACAGGCAGCACAGGAGGGAGTCTGGGCTGTGCCTCAGGCATTGACAGGTCTGAGGACTGGCTGAGTAAGACTGACTTCCTCACACTTCTGGATTTAAAGATAGTTGGACTAGAAAGGAAGGGGTGCCCTCACGGTTATGTATTTATGATAGAAACAAAGATCCATGGCTTGGATCTCACTGGATGTAAGAAGTGAGGGGGAGAGATTTTGATGGTTCTGAGGCTGCAGCTCAAGGAAACAGAATAAAGCTGATGGTGGTTCCATTCACTGCAATAGGGGATGAAGATTGAAGGCCTCTATTTTTTCATGATATAAAAGGCAAGGTCAGGGCCAGGGATTTAGCTCAGTGGTTTTGCCGTCTGCTGCGCAAGCGCAATTCGATCCCCGGTACCTAAAAAAAAAAAAGAAGACAAGGTCACCTGCTTGGTGCAAGGCAGAGCAAGGTGAGAGAGCCTGATGAAAGTGGCAAAGGTCTAAGAGAGCTGCCAAAGATAATGTGAAAAGCAGCTGACGAGGGAGAAAGAAAAGGACTGTCAAGCAACACTGCAAGTCCAACTGCAATTGGAACCAATATATTTGCAATGGCACCAATCAATGTATGATGGGACTCCCTCCCACCAAGCTTAGCAACCAGGAGTGGACAAGGGGACTGGGGCTGGCAGAGGGGCAAAATAACAGAGGTGATGGTAGGGATGGGCCTGAGGGGGTGGGATAAGAGATCAGCTGAGGAAAAACAGGAAGTAAAGGAAGGTGGACAATGGGGTTGAGAAGCCTCCAGGGGCTGGAAGGCCAGGGTAGTGGGAGAGAGGAAGGAGGGCAGGTAGTAGTCAGAGAGGAGAAGGCGAGCTCTGGTAGCTCAGAGCATAGCAGCTCTGGACAAGGCAGCTGGCGGGGGGTCAGGAGGTGACAGGCACAGGGGGCGGTGGGGTGAAGGCTGTAGTGGAGAAGCAGGCTGGGCTGACGACCTACTGATGCACCTCTTCAGAAACACAAAGCAGATGTCAGGCACCAAACGAGATCCTAGAATCAAACCTCACTCTCTGTTCTACCCTTCCAGAACAGAGTATGTGACAATGATAGATGACAAAGATCAAGGCCATGTCAATCTCCTAACCCAGTATAATCTCATTTTCAAGAATGTATCTGACCTCAAAGAACTAGGACTGAAAGTCCCATTTGACCCTGCTATTCCCCTGCTGGGGATCTTCCCCAAAGAATTAAAAGAATCATACCACAGCGATATATGTGCACCCATGTTCATAGCAGCACAGTTTGTGATAGCTAAAACTTGGAAACAGCCCAAATGCCCATCAACTGGAGACTGGATAAAGAAGATGTGGTTTTTTATAAAATGGAGTACTACTCAGCCACAAAAAATGAGAAATTAGAGACATTTATAGCTAAGTGGATGCACATTGAGGCAATACTCTTAAGTGAAATAAACAGGACACACATGTGTAAATACCGAATAGTTTCTCTGGTGTGAGAAACTGAAAGTGTAAATAAGGACTGAATGTATAATAGGCAATGTGAAATAGGAAGAAAAGAGGCAAAGGGGAAGGAAGTGGGAGGGCTAGGGGAAAGGATAGAAGGGAATGGGATTAATATGAGAAAATGGAAAAATAGGAACAAAATCTTTGTAAATAGGGAGGACTGGAGGGGTTGAAGGGAGGGCTGAGCAAGGGTGAAAAATAAGAACCAAGAGAGACTATGTAAAGGTGCAAATTTCCAATGATGAATGTCATTATATTGTATACCTAAAATGTACCAATTATTAGAATGAATAATTGATAATGTAAAATAGGAATAAAAGGCCCAAAGGGGTAGGGGTAGTGGGAGGCACAGGGGAAAGGAAAGAAGGGAAAGGAAAAATGATGAGAAATGGAAAAAATGGAAATAAAGTCTTTGTAAATAGGGAAGGGTGGAGGACGTGAAGGAAGGGAAAGGAATGGGGAAAAAATAAGAGCCAAGGTGCATTATATAAAAGTACAATTCCCAATGAGAAATGTAATTGTGTTGTATACCTACAATGTCCCAATAAAAGAATTTAATACAAAAAAAAAAAGAATGTATCTGAAGGAAAAAGAAAACTCAACAGAAGAACAAAACTGAATCCTTTACAATGTTCACTGTTACCTACGGTACAAAAAAGCTGAAAAAAAATCTAAGCACTCAACACAATTAAGAAGATGAAGATTATGAAGAAACAGAGGAAAATGTATGTGTCCCAGAGATGAGCTTTCGGAGGTCAGAAAATCTGTCCTGCTCATCTCTTTATCCCAGCCACAAAGCATGCGCTGTGCTCCTAATGGGCACTCAGAAACTGTCAGAGTAAATGAATGAATGGAAGAAATTGCATCACATTATGATCAGAACTGGGTGGAAAAAAATGCAAGCACCTAGAGAGGAGAATGTAAAAATAATCAAAATACTCATGTTAGCAGAGTGGAAATAGGATGACTTTTTCCTTATCTGTAAATTCCATTTATCCTGTCACATTGTTTAACAATTAAAAATGAGTGCCTGCTCCTTTAAAAAAAACAACAACAACAACACTGGATTGAGGAAGAAATATAAACCAAAATTTTAGAATTTCTTGAAAATAATGAAAACATGGCACATCATTAAAATTTAAGGGGCTAGGAATTTAGCTCAGAGGTGCCACTGCCTGCCTCACAAGCACAAGATCCTGAGTTAGATCCCCAGTACCAAAAAAAAAAAAAAAATTAAGTACATTTACCCTTTGTGGAAAGCCATCCTCAAAGTGCACTGGCACAAACAGAAATCATGCAAGGCTATTCTTTGTAGAAATTTTACAGGAGAAAAGACTAGAAATAACACCAATGCTAATAATAAGCTATGCTCTGTCCCCCCTACAGAGTACGGGCACTATCGGTAAAGGGGGCAAAACGAAACTCCCCAGATGGCTGTGGCCTGGAGTCCAGGTACATCTGACAGCGAAAGCAAGGCAGAGCAACAGAAGGGTGTGGTATCATGCACCTGAGAAAGGACAGGGCTACAGAACATGAGTTCACAGTTCAAGGTGAAATGAGAATAAGCCAAAACCTAAAACAAATGATTACGTAGAGAGGTAACAGAAAAGACACGACAGAACAGGTAAGAGGAATAGGAAATGAAGTCAGACTTCTCCAAATATATACATATATATATATATGTATATATTTAGAGTTTTGATTTGGAAATTAAGTAAACATTTAAAATAACTGTAAATCAAAATATAAAACCTAAAGCTATTATTCAAAATAAACAAACAGTCTTAAAAAAAAACAAAGTGGTATGTGCCTGTAGTCCCAGCTATTCAGACTGCTGAGGCAGTAAGCGTAAATAGCCTCACTTGAGCCCAGGAGTTCAAGGGCAGCCTGGGCAACACAGACCTTGTTTCAAAAAAAAAAAAGAGAAAGAAAAAGAAGAAAATACACACACACAATAATAAACAAATGAACATAATTCTGTATGAAGCTGGTGACTTAACTGCAAAGAGAAGGTTAATGCAAGTGACTTTAAGCTTTTAAGCATAGGCAAAATGAATGCGACTGTGTCTCTAGTGGGAGTGGCCCAAAGACGAAAAGAATTCTAAAGAAATCTTAAACCATATTCAGTAATCCTATCACATTGTTAGTAATAACTACTAGAGTTTTCATTTTGAATACACACACGTTTATGTCATTAAGAAGCAAGATCGAGGCCGGGGATTTGGCTCAGTGGTTCCGCCACTTGCCTCACAAGCACAAGGACCCAAGTTCGATCCCCCGTACCCAAAAAAAAAAAGCAAGATTGATACCATGTGACAATACATTTATATTATGTATCATTTTGTAAAAAACAATACGATTACAAAATCAATGAAGTTAAGTAAAACCCATGCAATCTTAAATTTGAGTTGGAAATATCAATATAAATTTACGAGACATTTTATTTTAAAAAAGAAATTGCTCTGTCACTAGAAGCAATCCTCACTGTTAGAGCCATGAGCATCCCTAGTACCTATATATTCTGGTTTCCTATAATTTTCTCTATAAAGGAACCTGGGCTCCTTGGAGAAATGGTCAACTCTGGGTGGAGGTGAACTATCAAAGTCTATTAAGTCATGTCTGGACCCAACTTGAAAGGCTCCCACTGATCAATGCTGGGGTAATTTGATCATCAAAAAGAATAATGCCCACAATAGACTGAAACATATCTAATATGTTAAAATTCTCAATTTCATAGTGCTGGAAACAAACATATTTAAAACCTAATAGGTAAGTTTTGTAGATTATTAGGACACCAACTAATTATTCAGTAAACTGATTAAAAAAAGAGTGGGGGATAAAGCATTTATCCTATTTTTTTCTATATGGATAAATTTTCAAGATTACCAAGTAGTTGACAGGAAAAGTTCTCCACAGAATAATTCTAGCCATTAAACTAAGAAGGAATGATAGAATTAGAGAATCAGAACTGTACAACCTCTAGTGAAATATAAGGTCTTGGAAGTGACCATCAGTGGCTGCTCATAGGTCAATGGGAGCTTTATATGAAAGACAGGCTGCACCAGGAACCAACTCAACATCAGAAAAACAACCACCCAAAGCCTTCATGCTTCCTGCATTGATACAACAAGAAAATTTCAGCCCAAATAACAATGTATTTTTGCTAAAAACAGAAAATCTGAGTTTGATAGAGCCTCTAGACTTAACTACCAGTACAGAAAATACTTGGGTACTGGGTATGAGGAGGAGAGGGGAGGGGAGGGGAGGGGAGAAGAGAAGAGGCGTGACGAGACAATACTTGGAATAGAGGAACATCTTAACATTAGACACGCAACCAATCAAATCCAAAAATGCAAAAAAGTGTACAAGACCAACAGCCTGGTTTCCTCAACAAGTTAATAGACAGGAAAGGGGGATAGACAATGGTCACAAACGTAAGAGATTTAAGAAATACATACATTAATCAAATTCAACCTGTGGATTTCCCTTGTATTCTGATTTAAACAGATCATCTCCACAAAATACATTTATAAGAAAACTGGAACAATCTGACCAATGACTAATTTTTATAATTATAATAATAGCATCATCATCATGTTTTTAAAAGCAAGTTTTATTTCTTAGCCATACTAAAGTATTTACAGTAAAAGTGGCAGAGTATCTAGGAATAGCTTTTACCTATGCTAGATTTTAACTAGGTAAGATAAAAACCACTGATCAAATGTTAATGATCACTGAAGTGATGAAGGGTATATGAATATTATCTCTATTGCTATGTGCATTAGAAATTTTCCTCGATAAAAGATTAAAGAAAACAAGAAATCTTCCATCTGTAAGAAGGGCAGCCTATCTTCCTGTATGATGAGAGGAGCTGGGCACAAACAGACCTTTTTTCCCTCAACCAATTAACTCTGAGAAGTATTTTCTGACTTATGAATATCAGCTAAATTAAGACCGAAGAAAATTTTCTAAAGATATTTTTTTCCTTTTTTCCAGTATGGAAGACTGAACCCAGAGCTCCCTGCATTCTAAACAAGTAAGTATAGAGATCTTAAGGTGACAATCTTCAAACCTGATTGTCTGGGTCCGTAAGGCCCTTCACTACCACAGGTATGAGGTATTCAGAAAACACCACTGGAAAATCTGGTCTGTTTTCTCGTAAAAAAATGCCAATAGCAGGAATCTGTTCCAACAGCTCAGTCCGTACTGTGGGCTCTACAGCAAGAGAAAATAGAAAAAGAATTATATTAAGAATAAGCCAAGCATCTCATATAGTATACACTGATAGTTTCTAGCTTTTCTTACTAAAATACTTCATCAAGGAAATTAGACAAATGCAGTTTAAAAATAATTTCCCATTTAGAGTATGTTACAGACAGGCTTAAAAAGTTAATAAGCTATATGGCAATATAAAAACATAAAAAGAAGAATGACAACTCCATTATAACAAGCCATATATAAATCGTGGAAGGAGCAAGAAGTCTGCATGCTGGGCCTGCATCCAAAAGCTATTACAACTAATGGCTTATATGCGAGGCCTATGGATTGTGCCTATTTAAATTCCAGTCAGAATGTATACATTATAAATAATTCTTTTATAAGTGAACTCCCCTATAATCCACACATCCCAATTATTTCTAAGGCAAACCATTAAACAAAAGAGCAGCTCTAGCTCCAATATACCACATTAAATTTAACACAAATATATAATTGCTGCAGCACTGTAAATGGTGATTCATTTACAAAGAGAATCCATTTAAAGACTCAAAATATCCACTTGGGTCTTTTTAAAAGCATTGTGTCATATTCATATGAATATTTTAAACTACTATGGGAGCTATGTGGAAGGCTTATTTTTCTATTTTCAGTTAAAACGATCAAACCCTAAGGCCTATGATCTCCACAACTTTCTGACACAGCTCGCCATTTGTTATGAGTCCAGGGAAGGGGGCTGCAGAGCAGCTGCCAGTACCAGCAACCCACTACTCATTCATCTTACAGTCGCTACTGTGTGTGGCGGGGGTGGGCAGGCAGACAATGCCACAGTGTCTGCTGTACAGCAATGTGCTTTTCTTCTGGAACAGCAATCACGGAGAGGTAGAGAGAGAAAGAAAAATCAAGATTAGCCCACAGAGATCACAGGTGAGAGAAACTAATGGCTGGGATTGTTCTAATCCAAAGCACCTTTTTTGATTGGGTATTTCTTAGCAACCAATAGTCTGGCAAAACTCAAGAAATACAAAAGGCCCAACTGCCGGGGCAAATGGCATTCATAGCCATTAGTCCTTCTAATTTTCTTTAAAAAAAAAAAAAAGGACAATTTGAGATATTTTAAAATAAGATGCCCATTCTTCATGATAAAATTTCCACTGATGTTCAGATTCTGCTTCAAGTTGGTAGATTAATAAACAAGTTTCTTTAGATTTAGCTACTACAGGGCCAGGGATTTAGCTCAGTGGTTTCGGCGCCTGCTGCGCAAGCGCAAGGACCCGAGTTTGATCTCCGGTACCAAAAAAAAAGAAAAATTTAGCTACTACTGATTATATTTAATTTCTCAGAAATGTACAAGTAAAAAATAAAATTATACACACCTGCATCTTCTGACAATCTGACTGCAATCTCCATTATTGTTAAGAAGTCTTCTTCATTGTTACTGAAGTCCCGGAAGATATCAAGCAGTCCTCCGGCAATAATCTGACTATGGAGACAAGAAATGATCCATACAGTTATTTCGGTGACACTAACTAAAGGGTGCTAAGTTCCAGGAACTGTAGTAAGACCAGATACTTGAAGCAAAGGAGAGTCACAATCTCAGTCCAGGAGGATAGGGACCATCAAGGACCATCCAAAGACCATCATCCCTGTGTGGATCACAATGCTGTAGGAACTGGGAGCCCACATCCTCCAGTCTGGCAGTCATTAGAATTTGAGATGGTCTTCTTGAGATAAGGGAAGACCATTTCTCTGCTTTGCTAACTAATTCTTCAGGCCCAGACAGACTTATAAGAAAAGCCCTTGACAATAGGAGTGAATTAAGTAAGTAAAGAAGGGGAAAAGGCCCAGAGAGGAGTCTGGCAGCCCTCTCAATGACTGAGGAATGAGGAAGTACAGGTTATAGGAGTCTGATTAATTTTAAAATTTCAGACATTTCCCCATTTAGTATTTTCACTTTCTCAACTTTCTGTGCTGATTAAACACGAAAACCATAAGAGGAGAAGAACCTCTAATACTCAATTTGAGGAAGTTAGGAAAGCCACAGGCAGGCTTTGCAGAAGGAACCTAAGGCTAGGGACACAGTCCGTGTCTGAGGCCCTAGGGCCTTAGCAACATCCAGGAGGGCAGAGTCGGGCTGCAGCTGGGGAGCAGAGATCAGACTAGGGCAGTTCCCTACAATGGGCACACAGCAGAGGAGCCACGTGCCTTACACAGCCCAGAGGTGGCTCTGGCCAGCGGGGGGAAAGTGTGATGGTCACTGCTGGACCGAGCAACCACGCTGCACAAGCACGGTCTGGGCCACCTGCCAACACCTCTGTTACACAGAAATGCTCTAAAATTTCCAATTAAAATAAAAAGATTGATGCAGGCTATAAAAGACAAAACCTAACTAGATATTGCTTATAAGAAACACACTTTAAACATAAAGACCCAAGTAAGTTAAAGATAAAAGGATGAGCCAAGCACGAGAGTGCATGAATGGAATCCCAGCACCCAGAGACTGAAGCAGGAGGGTGTCGAGTCTGAGGCTACCCTGGGCGAGATGCCGCATCTGAGGACAGTTTGGGCTGCACAGTAAGACAACGTGGTACCCTCGATGGTACTCTGGAACAAAACAAAGAATAACTATGAACCAACAAAGTTCAAGTAAAATCTGTAGTTTTATTACTAACCTTGGACCAATGCCATCGTTAATTTCTTAGTTTTGATAAATATAGTATGTTTATCTCTGAGATAATATTACAGCAGTGTTTCTTGCTCTTGGCTCGACTGCAGTTTTAGAGCAGGTTAACTGCTGTGGAGACTGTCCTGAGCATCAAAGGGTATTGAGTGGCATCCTGACCTCCATCCACTAGGGTCAGTCGCAGCCCCTCTCCCCAGTGATATGACAAACAAAAATGTTACTTTGACAAGTGATACTGCCAAAGTTCTCATGGGGGCAAAACCACCCCTGGGTGAGAGTCAGTGCATTAGAAGAAGTTGAGCAGAAGGTATAAGGGAATTCTTATACCACCATTACCGCCCTTCTGTAAGTTATCTCAAAATAAAGAGCTCAAAGACAAAACAAAAGACAAAATGAAGCTATGATGAGATAATACCAAACCACTAGAAGAACTAAAATTATAATGACAACACCAACTTGGAACAAAACGAATCCACAGACATTGTTGGTAGGGACACAAAATAGTACAAGTGATTTGGAAAAGAGTGGCAGTTTCTCAGAAAGCTAAATATCCATTTACCATTTAACCCACCAATTTCACTCTTAGGTGTTTACCCAAATGAAGTGAAAACATGTCCACACAAAGAAGCATGAGAATGTTCATAGACGCATTATTCACTGAACATTTCTTCTTGGCACCGGGGATCAAACTCGGGACCTTGAGCTTTCGAGGTAGGCACTGAGCTAAATCCCTGGCCCCATATATGCATTATTCAAAATAGTCATCAAATGCTGAATGCATAACAAAATACAGAACATTCATACAATGGAAAATACTTGAAATAAAAAGAACAAATTATTGATAACAAGAGGAATGAATTTCTAATACACTTTACTAAGGTAAAGAAGCCAGGTACCTTAAGACAATATGCCATATGATTCCGTTAAATTAAATTCTAGAAAAGTAAGACCTTCTGAAAAAATGAGGAACCATGTCAGTGGTTACCAGGGCCCATAGGAGTAGCTGAGGGAGGGATTGACTGCAAGGCAGAAAACAAGGGAAATTGCTGGGTGATAAAAATGTTCAAAATGGATTATGGTAATGGAATGGTTGCATGACTGTATACATTTACTCATCCAACTGGATGCTTACAGTGGGTGAATTTTATGATACATACACTATCACTCAATAAAGTCATTTTAAACAAAGACGAGGATGAGGTGGAAAAATCAGGGTGATCAGCAGTAGCTTTGGTGGCCTGCAGGTCTCAGTGTGCAAGAAGAGAACCTACAGCTCCGGCAAACACCCTTTAAGGAAATGGAAACTGGCCTCTGATTCTGCCTGCTTCTGTGTGCTCCCTTGAGCAAATGACATGCTAGGACCCATTCACATCATTCCTGGCCATGCACGTGTCAGGAAAAGTAGTTGAAGTCAATAACCCACCTTGATTTGCTGGAAAAGAAGACTAGCAATATGGAATTCAAAGAGGTGGTCCTTTGGCATAGCGCATTATAGGGAGAAATCCATCAACTCAAGTCTGTCCACAGAAAGACTTACACTACCCTGGGGATGGAAAGTCAAGATCTGGCAGCCAAGAGGCCTGGGGAAGTCAAAAGAGACACTATAGAGAGAGTCACTGATTACATTCCACTGGACCGCATTCTTGTCAGCCTGCCCTGGGAAATCAAGCAACTAAGATCCCCAATCTGCTTCTAAGGCCATAGAATGGATAGACAAATCTAAGGAAAGAGATGAAAGGGATAAGGAAGGTACCCTGAAGCAGGGACAATCCAGTGCAGTGAATACAGGTGGAAAAGAGCTAAAGACAAACACATTGGCTCTTTGGAAACAATACTTTGGAAAAATCTGGTGCTTTAAATTGGCATGTCCAGGAGAGACTACAGTGGATAAGCAGAATCCAAAAGCATCCATCTCAGCACTTGCCACTGTCAGCCTTGTTAATGAGATAAAAGAGGATCTCCAAAGGGAGACTGCCTATCCCTGCTGAGGACCCTGCGAAACAGTGCATAGGAAGCTTTTAGCATAGCACCTGGAACAGCATACACCTGCCAGCATTTTAGCCACAACAGTACAACATAAGCAGAGACCTGCAAACAACCTGGTGCCCACCAACAGAGGAAAGCTTAAAGAAATTATAACACATCTATACCTTGACATATTTTGCAACCATTTTTAAAGGTACCCCATTTATGTAGTAAGTTAGAAAAAATGTCTATGATAAAGTAAATGAAAAACCAAGATAAAGAATTTTACATATAGTATGAGCCCATTTCTTCATACAAATCATATTTAGGAATGTATGTATAATATAAGTACACACAAACATTCACGTATACATATACTTATTCAGGAAAAACTAAACATACACAACAAATTGTTCAGTTTGAGTAGGGGAAAAAGGGAAACTCTCATCACCTAAACTCCCGAAACTAAGTGCTTCAATACGCATGCATTATTTTTGTGAATATTTTTAAACAAAGAGAGGATGGAGCCAGGTATAGTGGTATATGCCTATAATTTCAGCATTCAAGAGGCTGAGGCAGGAAGACCTCCCTGAGTTCAAGGCCAGCCTCAGCTACATAGTGGGATCAAGGCCAGCCTGAACTACCTAGGGAGACCCTCTCTCAAACAAAACAAAACAAGAAGATAGCTCAATTTTATGTGACAAAGCAACATTCCCTAGAAATATAAGCAGGGAACCCACTCACTCAGCAACAGGCTTGTGTTGAACTTAACCAGCCCTAGACTCAGCGTGAGAAGCCCACCAAAGTCAAGGCCCTGCCCACAGGCACCTACAGGTCAGGCCCAGAAGTAGGCAAGAAAATCCACAATGACCCACAGTGACAGGACTGGAAAGAGTACTCGCAGGGTGCTCCAGAAACAGAAAATTTTAACTCGCCCAGGAGCAGGGCAGTGGTGGGCAGCAGATGTGTGGGAGACGCTGTCTTGGAGTATGAGTGGCCCACATAATGAAGGGCTATGGGAGAGGTGGACAGGCCGGGGCAGTGAGGATGCAGGAACTCTGTACCTTTCACCCAATTTTTCTGTGAATCTAGATTGTTCTTGTAAATCAAGAATAGTAATTAAAAAAAAAATAAGAACCAAGATGGATTATGTAAAGGTGCAAATTTCCAATGATGAATGTCATTATACTGTATATCTTAAATGTACCAATAAAATTAATTAATTTTTAAAAAGAATAGTAATTTTAAAAAAATGAAAGTGAAAAGCAGAAAATTCCTGGACAGCAGTCTTGTACTAGCAAGAATTGTTAAGGAGGTTCTTGAGGCAAAAGAATACCTGCTAGAAGTGGGCATTTCACAAAAATTACTAAAATGCATAAGTATTATGGCAAATACAAAATATATTTTTTTTCATTTTTAATTGCTTTAAAGGGCTGTTGACTATCCAAAACAAATACAGTATCGAGTTACTGTGGGGTTTATGTGTAAAGGTTAAATGTTAAGAAAACAGCACAAAAGCTAGGGAAGAAAAAAGAAAGCAGATTGTTGTAAAGTTCTTAAACTATATTTTGCACTATACACAAAGTGGTATAATTTCATTTAATATATGTTGTGATAAATGAAAGAAATATATTGTAATTCCTAAAAGAACCAACCAAAAAATTTTTAAAACATGTATAACTAATAAGCCAATAGTGGAGATAAAATAAAATTATTTTTAAAAATCCTTATCTTTGTAAAAAGCCAGAAAAGAGGAAAAAAAAGTACAGTTTAGACAAATAGAAAACAAATAGCAAGATGGTAGATTTAACATATAAAATCAACAGTAATATCAA